TTTTTAATTTTATTTTAACCTTTTCTTTATTGTTAATTTTTTAATTCTTCTTTTTTTTTTTTTTTTTTTGTAAATTAACAATTGATAGATAATGATACAATTCTGGCTTAAATATTCGATTAAATAAGCTTAACATCTTAGGCTATATCTTTCAATAAAAACATAATTAGTAAACAATGTTTATTAGTAGAATTATAATTGTGATTTTAAATTTGAAAATTTGCAAATTTTCCACTGTGTGTTTTGGATAGGTTACTTTAAATTACACAATATCAGCAGGGGGTGTACAAAGGAGAAGTTTCATTTAACGATGATAATTTTGTGATATTAAATGAACTTTGATCTTTAACTTTTAATACTCTTAGCTATGATGATGTCAGAAGGTTGTGACTTATATATCATCTGTTCGTTGTTCATTGATCATTTAATATCTTAATGTATTAAAAGATGAAATGGAATGAACAGATGTTATATAAAGTTTAATCAATAATTTATACAATCAAACAAATTAATCAATAATTTATACAATCAAACAAGTTAATCAATAATTTATACAATCAAATAAGTATTATTTATTATAATCTTATTCTTAATTTATTACAATCTTATAATCAAACAATTATAATAATCAATAATTTATGCAATCAAATAAGTTAATCAATAATTTATTATAATCAAATAAGTTAACCAATAATTTATACAATCAAACAAGTTAATCAATAATTTATGTAATCAAATAAGCTGATCAATAATTTATGTAATCAAATAAAAGTTGATCAATAATTTATGCAATGAAATAAGTTGATCAATAAATTGTATAGTAGAATTGAAATTACAAGTAATTTAACCATATTCAACTTTAAAAATTCAATTTCTGGTAATTAAATTCTGAAAAAAAAATTTTTTTTTTTTTTTCAGGTTATATCAATTGAATTGGCCATCTGCATCAACAACAGGAACAGCAGCAGCAGCAGCAACAACAAGAGCGACAATTGCTTGTGCGACACCACTCATTACGCAACCATTACTTGATTCAACACTTTTCAATGATTTACTTGAGTTAACAATTGATGAGAAGAAAAAGAAGAAGACAATTATCACAAAAACAGTAAGTGAAAGTGCTGTAACATCATGTGCATCTTCCGGACGTTTACCGGTTTTTGCTCAACTCAGTAATCCGTCATCAGCTTCATGAAATTAATGGTTTAAATAAATCCGGTGAATAATTAAGCAATTAATTGATTATACATGCATTGTTTGTTCTTTGTTTTTTTTTTTTTTCTTTTTCCTTTCTTTTTCCTTGTTCTATATTATCATTGTATTCTTTGCTTTTTTTTCTTTTTTACTCTTTTACCTATTGAAATTATCATTGTTCTTGTTTTTTTCCTTTCCTTCTTTCTCTCTCTCTCTCTCTCTTCTGTCCCTCGTTTATTTTCATGAAAATTTTCTTTTATCGATTTTTCTAGATAAATTTGCGAAATTTTTTTTGCTAATTATAAATTTTAGGAGAGGAAAGATTTGAAATGAATACTTACTTATGGTAATATTAAAAATAAATTTTAATTCTTGAGAAATTGAAATCTCTTTTTTACTTCTTTTCCCTTTTTCATTTTCATCAATTCTTTCAAATAATTATATCTTCCATATTTTGCTTTTAATTTGTTACATTGTATTATTGTATTATCTCCTCCATTTACCAAAAAAAAAAAACAAAAATAAAAAATAAAATAAATAAATAAAAAATAGAAATAAAAATAAAAAATAAATAAGATAAAAGAATTATGATGAAAATTATTTTTTCTCTCTCTCTCTCTCCTCCCCCTTCTCCCTCTCCCACTCACTTTTATCCTTTATTATAATTCCTTTTTTCTCTTTTTTCTTATTCTCTCTATTTTCGTTTTTCTTTTTTCTTTCTATACAATATTAATTATCATTTATCATTTATTTTTATCATTTATTTTATCATTCAAACTCTCTTCACATACAAAGCCTTAGAATGTATAGTTGAAGTTTTTCGTTTTTCTTTTTTAAGTTTAAAAATTTTTTCATAACAATTTAATTAGTGTATAAATAGCATCCTTCTTCTATTGATAATATTTTTTATCAGTGAGTTATCTGTTATATGTATGTATGTGTATGTGTATGAGTGTATGTGTATGTGTATGTGGTATGTCTATGTTAGTAGTTAGTGATAATAGTAGTTGGTTTTATTTATTTATTTTTTTTCTATTTTTTGTTGTTTTAAATCCTTATTCATCTACCTGAACTCAGTGAAGCTCCCGAATGTAAATCTATATTACTATTACTACTGTTATTATTACCATTTTCATCATTACTGTTATTATTACTATTACTATTACTATGACTTTTTTCGCCATTATTATTATTATAACTATTGATTATTATTAATTATTATCAATTACCATTATTATTATTATGGTTATTATCATCACTATTATCATTTTATTATTATTGCTCTTATTATTATTACTGTCATT